CTTTAATACAGGTCTTAATTTTACTTTCTAAAGGAACTGCTGCCCAAATGCATCATCTTGTCCTCGTTTGGACGAACAACATCTCTCTCATTCCAAGTTCCTCCTGTGCTGGGGGGAAAAAACCCTACAAAAAACCCCCTGCTGGTATTCAAGAACCACATTTTGTGACTAGTTCAGTGAAGTCTACGTGTCAGTCTGTAAATAAACTAATTCTGGAACATACATATCATAGACAGAAAAGTCACACCAAGTAGGAAGCAAAGTATGAGCCAAAGAACTACTAAAGCAAAATAAAAGTTCATTCAAAACATAGATGTAGGTACAAAACCAAAACAAAACAAACCACTGGACTAGCATTTGATAGTTTTGCAGTGCTATTTAGCATGAAAGTATTAAATACTATTCACCAATGAGCAGACCCAAAAGGCAGACTATTGAAAATGTTCCCCAGTTTCACATCAAACATTGACAATTACTTTGTGAATTGCTGCAGTTTTCCAAAAAACTGTTTGTTCTAGGTGATATTTTTCTTGTTTGCCTAAAAAAATAGGATGAAGAACATAAAAAGCATTGGTGAGGTCAAAAGTAATTCCAACTATTACCTCCCCTTTTATTCACCATTAGGACTGTTATCCTATCCTACACAAGTAATAAATATTTTTAAATTAACTAAAAATTAATTAAGTTCTCCATATCCTTTAACTGCTTATAAACCCACATAATTTATATCTTTCTAAGTAGGAAAGTAGGAAAATACTGTTGCCCTCTCTCTGCCCCTCTCTCAGCTATTACCTTTCCACCTAAAATCCAGCCACCATTACTTCTCTCACCTTGTCCTTGCAGTGGCTTTATCTTTAGCAAGACCGGTGGGCAAATCTCCAAGTCCCTCTTTTTAAATGAAGACACTACTTTAGCACTTCTCCAGTTCTTTAGAAAGCCCCAAAGTCCTTCATGAGTTCATGATGAAAATTGCTAATGTTTTTCCTATAGTTCCCCATTGACTTATTGACAAATATTGCTAATGTTCTTCCTGTAGCTCCCCGCCTACTTGAGCGTGAGCATCAAGCTCCTACAATCCTGAAGAATAATTAGTCAAGGAAGATATTCTCAATTCTTTTTATCAAGGACTAGGAATATGAAAAAATGAACTGTCATAATCTCAGAACAACTCTCTTTGTGAAGAATGAAGCAAAGAAACCAATCAAAACAACTCCAATCCTTCATCATCTTTGCATCATCTATTAGCATCTCTGTTTTCCCATTACAATGACAGGCACAGAATTTCCTTTGCCCTCCTTGTATTTTCCATGTATTTAGATAAGCTTTATTCTGTTTTGTTTTGTGCTATAAAAATGTGAAAATTCCCATCCTTACATAGCCAAGTATGGAGGAGTGAAGGACATGATAACTGAACATAGATGAGGAAGATGTGTGAGCTCTCCTAGCCCATCTTCTTAGGCTAAACCTAATTTTTGTTATTTTGGGCTGTTGCCAGGGAAGTTGAACAGAGAATTCAGTCAGGTCTCCTTTGGGTTCACAGTGGAGAATGGCTCAAGACATCTTAAGTAAGACCAAAAATATGCTAAAATCCAGATTAATGGCGGAAACGGGAAAAGCAGTATTAATACTTAGGTTCATTGTATAAAGCGGAGCAACGAAACTACATTGCCGCAGACCTCTGTACATCCAGACATTAGCCCAGGAAGCTGAGACTTGCCTGTTTTGCTGGCAGTGCTGACTTGATGAATGGAGACATCAAAACAGGCAAACAAAAAACCAGCTGAACTTGGAGGAACCGTGAAAAAAACCGGCAGAGGCAGCAAAGAAGCAGTTTGACCAGAGGACTGTTTTCCAAGAGATGTGATCACACCTGGATTAATTTCAAAATTTTAAAGAGTAATTAAATTTAAATTAAAAAAAAAACCCACAAAATTATATCTTCCTTATTCTGTCCCCTCTCCATGTAGTACTAGGAGAAGATAGAATGGGGTGACTGCAGTCACTACAGTGTTAGATTTTTAACACTATGGAAACAACCTAAGAGAAAAGGATCTCGAATAACCTTAAAGTACAGCTGCTGAGATCTTGCATTTTCCTCCCTGACCAGCACAGATTTGATAGCAGTTTCTGTGCAGAGGCAATGAAACCAAGCTGAATAAAGTAGGCAGACAGAAATAAATTTACGGCCTCTCCCATCAAATACCAATTTTGAGAAAAGTTTTAAAAAAGCTTATTTATCAATTTCATGCTATTCCAAAGGATATTTTCAACTTTATAAACTTTCCTTAGCTTGAATTTACTCTCTTTTTGCCTTACAAGACCAGTTTTAGAGGAAATAAATCTTTCAAGGAAGAACTGATAAAATAGGTAAGTCCTAATAACTGAATGATGTTATACAAAAATGTAAACAAGATAACCGAAAGGTGTTAAGTAGAATGTGGGCAGTAAATGCTTCCTCCATTTACATTTCATGTCTATATTTTTGTTACAGACTTACAGGTAAAAAAACCCCAAGTGTTTTCTTTATAGAGATAACAACCTTTACCCACAGGACCATACGTCAGAGCTAAGTTTATTTAATTCCCTTGTGAATATCCTCAAGACAACCTTCCTTCGCCAGCCTGCAGGACAGAGCAACTGTCTCATCTCACACCTTCACCTCCAAACTTGGGTATTTTTGTTGGGGATTGCTGCGTGTTTGACTTGCACTGCGTTACCAGCAGCAAGCAGCTCTGAGTCATTTTCTGTTTATAACACTACGGAATGCACCCATAGCAGTACACCTGTGAAAAGAAAATCAGCAGCTAAATAAAACACAGTGTAAAAAGTAACTCGCCTGTCACTAACAATTAGACACAAAGTAAGAGAGCCAGAAAATGCAGAGTTGTTGTTCTATGTACTAGCTCTACGGCTAAAAATCAGCATTCCCAGAACAGCCCACTTGCAGCAAGAACATCAGAGAAAGCTACTTTTGATGGACTACAAATACTAGAAGCAGAGAAGACTGTTTACCAGCAAAAAGTTTTAATAGCAGCATTTTGAAAAGAAAATACTAATTTCGTGAATGCTGATGGTCTGTGTGTATTGCTCCCTCTAGTGTAAAAAATACAAAATCACAATCAACAAACATTCAAAAAAATCAGTTTGGTAACAAATACGAACTGTTTTTTTAAAGAAAGTCATTCTTTATCCACATTTTTTCCCTAAATATTTATAACATTATTTCTCACATTTTAATACAAGAGAAGACAAATTTTAACTTAGTTTCAGCTTCTGATCCGGGATTCTCACACTTTATTAGCAGGAAATGATCATACCAGAATGGAGTAGTGAATATGCAAATCTACACCTGTATTTACTGCTGTAATGCTCCCCAAGAAGTCAGTAAGATACAATGAGACATTCCCTTTTTTTTCTGTCCACTAAAACACCGATTTCCACTCTATGATTATGTTACAGTTATTAATGGTGTCATAGAAGAACTTGGTGTAAAATGTAGTGCAGCACATTCTGATACGCACGTATTCATCTGACTACTGTACCCGGTTAGGCTCTAGAATTCGGAAATAAAGCAGTTTTGGAGCTCGGACCTCCTTTCCTAAGTAGGTATGAAATCCCTTAAAAACACACAAGTCATACTTAAGACTGACAAGTCCGAGAAATTATTTTAGACTTTAACCCAATCTGAAGAGCCACTGGATGATACTCGACTTCGGCACAAGAGAGTATGGCAACAGCCACAGCCACTGCTGCAAGCTCCCCTCAGACAGTATCTGGGAGGAATTCCTGGGACAGTTTCCATCACACACACAAAAGAAAAACAACACAGCCTTTCATGCTAGTTTCATCAAAAGAATATGCAGTGTGTTTGGTCAGGATGGTTAACAGGCCTCTTGTAATCAGTAAAGTTTTCCAGCTCGGAATTCTCTTAAGTGCATACAGACACCTGCAAGATCAAGGCAGCAAATTTACCTTCTCCAAGAACTGATGGAGCTGTGTCTGAAGATAAAAGCCAGAAAACGAAACTTGGAAGTCTGAGCAAAATTCAAACTAAAGCTTTCACTGAAGTCATGATTAAACAATTTGTTACAGAATAATGAAATTAATGCTTTACTTTTGCTTTCAAAAAAGGAGCTCTTTTTTTCCCCCCTCCTATGTTGCTACCATCAGCAGCAGTTGAGAACTTGGGAAGCGTCCTAATGAATCATTTTGCAACTGTGTGTATACTTTTTTTTTTAACTGGGACTTCATACTTCACAGACATCAAAATTCTTATCATACAAGTACCAAATTATCATCTTCCTACTCCTATTGTAACTGCATTTCAGCTTTCCAAGGTCTGACAGATCCAAAAAACCATTTTCTCTGCTTGCCAGAATGTGGCTGTCAATCATTATCCAGTTTCACACACACCAAATTTGAGTGTATTTGGTGGAACAAGCCTGAAATACAATTTGATGCAGAAGACTGTCTTTGAAGACTCTTAATAGGCAGTCCTAACAGATCACAAGTGGTTCTACTGTCTCAATATTGCACAAATTAAGCTCCATTCCTTTCAAAGACGAGCACTGTTATATGGCAGATCCTTCAAGTCATTACACAGAAATTCTATTTAAGGCAAACAACCAAATGTTCATTTTATTTTTCTACCTGATGTGGCTGTTGTTTCTATCACAGCAGTGCACCTCAATGACGGTCCTTACAAGATACCTGCCATCACTGCTCACCCTAAAGCTGTGTTTACTGTCAAGACTGAGAAAACTATTTGCTTGATCATTTGTGAAATTTATCCAACTGATTTTGTAATTATTGGAGTCCATTATAGGCAACTGGTCTTGGCTAGTGTAGCATAACTAGAATACCTACCATGCAGAGGGCTCAGTAAGGATGATACTGCATGCCACAGCAAGAAAACAATCAGGTTCTTGAACTAGCGCCTCTGTAACAGCTCAGTCACGGAGTAAGAAAATGGGCACTAGAGCAAAATTTCAGGGGCTAAATTCAGGACAAAATTAACAGTTGAGAAAGAAATTTTATTTCAAGCTTCTAAGGGGGTATTACAAACAATAGAGAATAAAAACATTAAAAACTATTTAAAAAGTAATTGTCCCTTTAAAATAAAGATTCAAGCAGGTTTAACAATGAAGTATGCTATTCAATGAAGTTTTAAAAAAAGATTTAAAAAGTATTGGTTTTGCTGTATTTGCTAATCCTTTATAAAAAAGCTGGGCATAAATACTTCGTGCATTCATATGCATTATTTGGTGTTTCATATTATATAACTTGGTACAGTATTTAAGATATCACTGCAAAAGAGTTCAAACACAGTGCATTTATAAATAATGGAGTCATTATAAATCACATTGCAAACATACCTTGCCATTTTCATTGTTACAAATTCAGTATCTCAGTGAAGGTAGGAATAAAGTAGCTACAACAATCAATATCTTGACTTTATTTTTTTTCTTTTTAATATAAAAATGCAGTTCTGGAAACCCACCCTCCTTCTTCCCCCTGCCCAAACATAATGCTTTACTTCTTAAAAATAAAAATAAAGTACTAATTCTATATACATCACATGTACCATACAAAAATGTATCCAAAGTTTCTATTGCTACCAAAGTGTTCTAAATTAAAAGTTACATAAATCCCCTCATTGGAAACAAAAGATTACAAGTTACAAAAAAATCAAATTACACACAAACCATCAAGTTATTTTATACAATTTCCAATACATTTTTCTCCCAAAGCAAGTTGTCTTCTCATGTGCCTGTATAAAAATGCATATCAATATATTTGTCAATTTTATTTTTCATTATAAAGCAAATTAATACATTTTCTACAATAAATAAAACACAGGGAGGCACACATAACAAAATTAAATCAATGGGAGATAAACGGGATATGGTTTTGAAAGAAATAATGTGCTTGCAGGCTTTAAGCCAGGTTTGTTTAAAACAAAAAACAATCTTAAGTTATTTTGGGCAACAATGGAGTGTTTTTGGTGATTTGCAAGTGATGTACATAGTATAATTTTTTTCTTGATGTCTTTCTCACAAAGTACCCTCCAAAATAATGCAACTTCCTTTCTTAAAATACATATTTGTAATTGTAAATTTACATCAATCTTAAATATGTGGTACTTTGTGCAAAGAGCAACGATTTACACAAACATTCAGAAGTCTTTTTCAGAAGCTACAGTCCAAGGAAGAAATGATACAAGCAGCACCATATTGTATATGATTTGGGCAAACGTATATTTGAAGCCATTTTGATATTAGGCTTTAAGATCCACTAAACACCTTAAGCTGGAAGACGGTGCTTAGGTAACTTAACCTCAGAAAGAAGGAAAGAAAAAAAAAGTAAAAAGAATGGAAACAAAAACCAACTCCCTCCCCAGCAAAATTATAAAAGGAATTAAAGAGCTACTTCTAAAATCAGAATAAGTTAAGTGTTGAATATACATTTATGTACAATTATGAACACTATGAACAAGACATTTTAACAGGTTTAGTGGAAAATCCTCCAAACTACAACACGATAAAATCATTAATCAATATGGCAATGGTGATTTAGAAGAATTGCTCAACTATTTCAAGTTTGCAGAACTCAGCCACTGAATCAACAATTAAGGGGTTGTATCTTCAATACATTCTTTTAGACAAAGAGGTTCATTAGGAGAGTTCAAGTCTGTGTGGTATTTTTCATGCCTTGGTAGAATCTCTGTTAGTCAATATCACTGAAGTCACTGACTGGTTCTCCATGGACTCTACTCAGGTGATTCATAGCACGATCAAAAGCAATTCTTACTGCTTTTCGTATGCTTGAGTTACGGCCTTCCATCATTTTTAACTTGTCTATGGTCTCATCTATCCCAAGGGGAACCATTTTGGATTTGGGAAGCCACTGCCTGTAAGAAAGGGTAAAATAAGTATGTTAAATATAGAATAAAATCAAGAAGTTTGTCCAGAAATGTCAGGGTTGCTATACTGTGTTTCTCACATAGCAGATCAGGTTTACCATCTTAAATAAAGTGATAAAATTCCTTTTAAGATAGTATTTCCTTGCCTTAAATATTTTAAGAACATGAAATATTAAGAAAGCCTCTTCCACAAAACAAAGAATACATTCCCATTCAATGATACTTATTTAATGATTGATATTAAGTATCAACTGAAAAAAATTAGCACGGAATACTGATGCAGTTTAGTTTAAGAATAGGAGGCAGCAAGTAACAACGAACGTGACTCAAGATTCATTTGACACAGTATTGTTTCTCTTCATTCTTTCATTTCCATTATTACAAGGAATTTGCAGATGATGAATTTTTGCCTTACATTTAAGACATCTCAATTTGATCTTTAGGACAAAAGCTAACTCTCAAGGAAGTTCTGCTTAATACGCTTTTACCCTGCAGTATGAAATCCCACTAACTCTGTATTCAGAGTATTTTTCCTTTTTAAGCTCCATGAATATCATTAATTGCTGGGCACAGAGAGTGATAATGAAAGATAATAATGATTTTTCTAGTTAAAGGAAAAGCATTCTAAATATTTAATTTAAAAAGTATGAAGTAAATTTACTGCATTTCCATAAATGTTTATCTTAATCCTGTTTTCTTAAGTTACAGGTAAAGTAATGAATATCTATTAAAGTATGTAACGGTCGTCTGCAATCCCAACCCTGGGGAATGGCAGAAGCCATGCTTCTGTTTAAAAACTTCAGTTTGGGAGTCCATTTGGAGCCGAATGAACTGCAAATCAGGTAGTAAAGTCTGATATAAAACATTTTCTTCAAAGATTTTTTTAACTGAGTAAAATTGTCTCTTGAAACATTATTTTTTATTAAAGCACCCCAAACAACAACCCCACTGTACTGAGCAAACACACTGAAACCAAAAAAATGTGAAGAGTCAGTACAAAGATACAGACAGAACAGTAAAGAATAGTAACATCAGCGATCAGCATGATAAGCATCAGTCTAACCATTATCAGTTTTAATACAGATCAGAAGGAAATTTTAAGAAGGGATTTTTAACAGAAATCTTGCCAGCTCCTCCAGATGCAAGCAGCGAAGGAGAAGAAACAAACATGATTATTTGAAAAGGTAATCCATAGTTGATGGAAGCTGGTATCACAGTCTGAAGATAACATATACCTGCAAATGAATGAAAATCATAGACATGGGTTCAGGAGTAAAAGAGACAAAAGTGTGATGTGTGCCAAAATGGCCAAAATAATCAGGATCAAAGAACCATTACCAAAAAAAGTTGGGGGGTGGAGTGGGGAGGAGGAAGAGGGGAAAGGAGCTGGAAAAACATTTAGCCTTTCCTGTCCACCTATGCAGAGTATCCGTTAGAGACAGCTTTGCGTAATATTTGCAAGATTTAGGACCACCTGCATATGGCAACGAATCAGAAAGGTTTAAGCTGCAGAGGACTCCCAAGATCAAGAAGCAATCACAGCAATTATTAAGAAAGTAGCTAGAGAGAACGTGCATTACACTTGTGATACCAATGAGAGAAAAAAGAGAAACAGAATACTGAATATATTTAAATTTGGATGTTCTCCATGAATAAAGGCAGAAGAATGCAAGATCTCATGGAATCCTGCGCAACGAACGAAGACAAACATGAAGAAGTACCAATTAATTAAGAAACGAATTGAAGAACAGAGAGAGCAAGCCAAAGAATCGTGATTATGCCAAAAGATCTACAGGGACAGAAAAGCAAACACCAATTCTAAATTTCAGGCAAGAAGTTATTTAGGTGATAGTGTACTGGGACAGAGAGAGTGAGGACAATGGCAGCATTTCTAGACATCACATTTAATCAGCTAAAAAGGAAAATGATATCTGAAAGTGTAAGCAAATTCAAGAGTAAAATCGAGATATAAAAAGATTTAAAGCTAGCTTGACCTGTGTGGGGAGAGGAGAGGGATTAAGAATACAGGGAAGAAATATGTAACTTGATGAAAGGCAGAAAGAGAGGTAGATAAAAAGCTTCCATATCTGGCAAAAAAACCCCAAACAAACAAAAAAACCCCCAAAAAGACCTAACAAAAAAAAAAAAAAAAAAAGAGCCAGGGGCAGAAAAAAAGAAGAGCTAGTGGCAGGGGAAGAGAATGTTTTATTGTGTGAATTATCCCTTCAGGCTCCACACAGCATATTGCTGATACTGAAAGAAATGGAAAAAGGGAAGGTTTCACGAGAAAATTTAAAAAGAGTTAAGAACTTCAAAGGAGAGTGTTAATAAAGCATTTAACTAGAGAGGTTAAAAATTTAAAGAAAACACACTTGAGCAGACGGGGGCGGGGATTGTCATTTGGAAAGCAATGATGAAGGCTGATACAGACAAATATTAAAGACCTTTAAAAAAATCTGTTTAGTCAAAGAAGCAATTTTATCAGGTCAATAAACGAAACCAGCTTGTAAATCGAACCAAAAGACTATTCAACAACTTATATTATTTTCTTCCAAATTGACCGTAAATAAGTATTTTTCAGTGATGATATGCCTTGGTCCAAGAATAGACTCATATATGAGATTTTAACATTACAGTTGATACTTCCATAGGAAAGATATCAGTTGAAAGATAATGTTTTAATTTTCTTTTAGACTAACGGTACAGGCTTTTAAAATTTTAAGTCACTGCATCAAACAATACATTTCAATAACATACCAACTTCTTTTATTGTCAAAAAATAGTACTAAGAACAGTTTCTCATCTGATTTGGTCTGCATTTGTTCTCCAATTTTCAGTACATCCAGAGGTGGCACCGGTATGGTAACACCGTTGTGATGGCCAGCAACACGAGGCATCTTAGGGTCAATAATCTATAAAAGAGAAGAAAGGACAGTTCCTAATTTTTAAAACTACATCATTTATTTTAAGGAGGTATTACAAATAAAGTTAATGGAAACAGAATCATAAACTAAACAGCCACTGTATAAACTGGCTTTGCATTACCCACTTACATAATTTCTTGACATAAGCTGAATAGGCAAAGTGGATGCACGGTGGTAAATTTAACTGAAAAAGCTACCCCTAGAGCATTTTTTCACCCATATCAGTTCTTCTTAAAGTCACATCTGAATTTCACTTATTACAACTTTCAGACTGACAAGCAGGTTTCAGAATGAGAAAGTTGAACCAGGATTTCTAAAGGCAACTAGTCATAACTGGCCTCAAATTTTGGGTTCTCAATTTCAGATACCTTAAAGAAACAACCTATGTTAAGGTATAAATATTTGCTTCTGCAAAATACAAGCCCCACACTCAAAATCTGAAGCAAAACACCCTCTAAACAAGCAAAAAAACCCAAACAGAAAAAAAGAAACCAGAAGTCGCTTTCAAGTATCTTGCACATCCAATTGAATGACTCAGTTTTCAGCAAAACATGCAGTGACAGTCACAAGTTCTTTCTAAACAAAGGTTGGGGGAGGGAGGAAGATGCTGCTAACATTAAACTCATCAGGCTGATGGAAAAACTCCTTTGCAGGCAGATCACAGCATTATCAAGTGCTCAGCTCCCACCAAAGAGGGCTTATGTTACTGCATGCCTGTTCCACCCATCTCCTACCCTACAAACTCCTGTTGTTTTTCTAGCATTCACACTGGCACCAAACTTAATCCACAGTAAACTGATTACGGGAACTAAATCAACAGAAAGCTAACACTGTGGGGAGTTTGCAGAAATCAGGAGAAGAACTTTCACCTCTTGACTGAGATTTAATTCCTCAATCAACTCATCACACACAAGAGAAACACCAGTGCTGACATAAAGGAGTGGCCAGAAAAGGAGTCCTTTGGTCATGATCTGCTTAAATCTAACAGTAAAGTGCTAACGCTGTTCAAGAGACAATCAAATCATCAAATTTTCAGCATCTGACCCAAGAGTGTTTGGGTCACCCACTGAGGGCACTTAAACCCAAGTGCTCTGAATCTCACCTCCACAGGTTTTAATCTGACTCTGTATGATTACATTTCCTGATCTCCCCAGAACATGTATATTAAAACAGTCATGATTGTCCAGTCTATTATATAAATCAAGCCACAGTGTATGAACTGTTTCTATAACCCCAAATGCCTGAAGCCAAACACTTCATCAACAACATTTTCTCCGCAAGCTTTGATTTAAGTAGAACTGTGTGCATTTCTCCTAAAATAACACGGGCACATCAGCTTTAAGTTTCCAGTACATCATTCACAACTGGATACAATCACTCAATTTATTCTAACTCGGTACCAAGTTTTTTGTTTCTTTAATGAATCGCAGAATCAGAGTATTTTTATACTCATTGTGCAGCAGAAAGTATTTTATAGTTCCAACACTAACAAGATGTCTGTCAAAGGCTTAGTCAGTTGATCCTTTAAACAATAATATATATTGCAGAAACAAAAGACTACTGAGACAGGTACTGCACATCTCAAAAGATGGGTAAGGTAGTAGAGATTATTGACTCAACATCTAATATTGGAATAATTTTACAAACTGGATGCATAGTAAAGAGGGCAGAATAATCCACCTTTATTCAACCTGAATGGGAATTTATCAGCTAACTTAAATTCACCCACCAATATTCTCAGACCAGGAACAGTATCACTAGTGTACTGATGGGAAGCTGTGTACTTACCAGAGCTGGGTAAGAGGGATATCCACTGCATTTGGCCCATACTACTTTTAGAGGCTCAAGAACAGATGTTGCAGCATCAGTTGAAATCCACATACTGCTATGCCCAACTTCTAAGAACAAATAATAATTAAATATAAAATATGTCAAAGAATGAAACCTCAAACAAATCTTCTGCAGTTCTTTGTTTCCTCGTCCACATCTCATGATCATTAGAATACAAATACAAATACCACCTTTCAAGCACATAGCAATAAAAAGCAGGTGACGTTCATAACAGCTCTTTAAATGATACTAGTACTTTAATTCAAGCCTACAGATAAAGAACAAGTTTTTAGACACTTCTAGAAACAGCATATCTTAATTCTCAGAAAGCAAGTGTTTGCCAAATTCTAATAATCCTTTCCCTTTGAAAAAGCTCAAAAGAAAACATAAAATTATGGTACTCCAAATAACCAGCTTCTTTTGAAACTACGACAATCCTGTCAAAGAGGTGATGGTACCGAAGACGCAAGTTGCATGGATGTTTCCAAAGTGCTGGATATAACATAGTACCTGATAACTTACAATGTTTGTCTGGTATACCTTTCTATTCTTATGCATAAATTCTACTCTGCATTTTAATTTATATTTATTTATTTTTAAACAGCCCTCTTGGTCTCTCTGCCCAGCTCTTTCCTGCAGCAAAATTCAAAAAGACCAATAGGGTTCAAGGAAGCAGCTGCAATAGTGTTTTTTTTTCCTTCTCAGGAGGCAGCATAACAGAAAACTGAGCTAATGTTACTGCTCGCTTCTACCAGAATCCTCCGTTTTCTTCTCTGTTGCTCGCCACTGGATTGAAGCATGAGACAGGTTTAAGCCTTTCAGTCAACCAGAACCGCATCTGGCCCCCTCGACACACAGGGATACGGTCAAAAGACTGGGCAGAAGACAGTGAGTTATCCCCTCAAGATGGAACTGAGGGTGGAAACAGTAGGAAGAAGGTAATGAAAGTTCACAAGCTGTGAAGATGAGGAGGCACTTTTTGTATGGGGAAACGTGGTACCAAAGTACAGTTCAGAGGTTGCAGCTGCACTTTCTTTTGGCACTAAGGCAATACTTGATAGAAGTAGCTCTCTACTTGCCAAAATACAATTTATTCCTCAATTCTTCCCAATCTGCTCCCATTTAAAATGGGCAATGCTTATTTATAATGAAATGCGGCGTGCAGATATATGTTCCATCTCAACATCACAAAAAGTACTGGAAAAAAAAGTAGTTTCAAACCTTTTAAGAGTAGAAATAGCAAGGAAAAAGTGTTTAGGGTGATCATAAAAATAAAATAAAGAAAAAAGGTCACTCATTCTCCACAATATATCCTAGGTCAATTTTCAGCCATAGGGTATTAACTCAATTATAATTTATTTTTAATCTATAATGGTATCAACATTTCAAGAACATACTGTATTGGGAAGTCTAACTTTATAGATTCACAACTATGTAATATCAGTTATCAAAATGCAATAGTTCATAATAACTTGCCATCACAGCACAACGAAGACATTAGATGTTTTTGAAGCTAAAAGTTGTTACAGGTTTTATTATAGGTGTGGATAACATAGGAGAAAGAGAAACAAATGCAATTTTTCCAGTGTCTTTAAGACTTCCAACAAGTCTCCTAAGGAAAACAGGGATCGTTGCCATCAATCCCAGCAGGCTTTAGAGAGGAGATCTTTAATCAATGGATTCCATTATCCAAAACCATGGAAACAATTTAAGTCTTATTTACACTATTTCTTACTGAACTACATAACCTTGGACAAATAGTTACTAAATCTATTTACTGGTTTATTTATTTGTTCCTTTCTGTGTATTTTCAGAGAGGTCATTTTAGGACATTCTTCACTTTCCCATTAAAAGCCATAAGAATATTCTTCAGATTGATAAATATATAATACACACAAATATAATACATACAGGCATTCTTATACTTCTAAGAGTAGAGCTGAATACATAAAATACTGGATATTATAGAAATACACGTTAAATCCAGATGAACCATTTTGGTAGTATCTCAAAATAAAACAATCAGAGCAATTGCTAACACAATAAAAAAAAAGCAATTTGGGCAACTTCTTTATTTCTCTGCTCTATTAATAGCAGTATGTTAAGTATTCATACGTCAGTTATAAAGAGTCATGAAGGTTTAGATTAATGTATCCTTTGTACACAGACTATTTTGAAAAATATATATAGAACTGTATCTGGTACATAAAAACAGTACAAGTCCTCTTCTTCAGGCCAGCTAACAAGAAAAAAAAGAAACCTATATTATTCTCAGCTGCAGAGTTGATATGAAACACAGAAAATGATATTTTAATGCTGAGTAGAAGATCATACATAATCTGACAGGATGCATGCAGCCAGATTCCCTCAGAAAGTTCTCGGATGTATACACAGTAGGGAGGAGTCTCAGAATTTTTCCTAGTCAGAATTTATTCCATGTGGTGATAGGGGATTAATACACTAGCATATATGGTTAGTAGTTTTCTTGTACAACATAAAACCCCCTTTATTTCCTCAAGCTATGAGACAATGAATTTAAGCTAGCAGTCAGGACAACATACTGCTTAAGATTTTAAATAACAGTACTCCCACTAGCTGAAAACCAACAGTAACAAAATACCACAAACCAGACTTATGATTCTACACAGTTTAGGGTAAAGATAAGGATGTCTCATTATACTTTTCCTCCCCTTACAGACTTTTTACTTCTTACAATATTTTTAAAACAACTAGTGGTTTTTTCAGTATCATTCTCATAACAAAGCCTATGTGTTTAATTTTTTGTGGGAAGTTGAGCAAAACACCCATTAGGTGCCAGTATCACAAGCCTCAACACTTTCAAGACATTTCTGTCTTCAAAAACAGAGCTAGGAACTTCAAACCCAGCATCTGCATAGCCTTCAGCAAGCAATGTGAGCTCTTCATAGGCCAATTTTATTTTAAACGAGAAACTTCAGCCACAAACAGGAAAGTCTATTTTACTGAAAGATGACCAGGTTAACAGCGCATAGTGTTGTTTTCGTCTTTTTTTTTTTTTAATTACATAGAAGAAACTTTGATTTTAACACCTAAATCTGCAGACAAATCCACTGACACTGAGCATATTTAAGCTCCAAAACTACTGGCACCCAGCAGGTAGCTGTGGTATTGGCAGCGTAGATGGATCATTCTTTAGCACAAATGATAAACTGAGACTTTCCTTTTACTGTGTAACTTTTGGTCGGACGAAGTGTTCTCTCTGCCGTCAATGTTACCTGTTGAAATTAAGACCGTGCAGAGGGGAAAGCTATTTGAGTCAAATGCAGCAAAATGTTCCCCTACAACCTGCCCCCTGCCCATTCTTGCTCACCAATCTGATGTGACTAAAGGGAAAGACAGCATCTAGACATTGCTGGAAAAAATACTGTCACTAAGATTTACTGAGGGGGAAAAAAAAAATCTGACAAGAAGGTGAAGCAACTGACTGGACAAAGATGGGGACAAAGAATTGAAAACTGGGACAAAAAAGCATGATGAGTATGGAACAGGAGAGCTAGACAAGAATCTCAAATCAGGAAACAAGAAATAGCTAGGCAAAAGGATTGGGCAAGACTCAGGAGGCACAGGCAGACGAACACTGCCACTTCAGCGCAGCAGCTTCCTGGCCCTAAAAAGGAATCCAAGATCTACAAACTTCAGCACATCTCTGTAAACAGCATCTATTAATGAAAACCGCTCATAGCACGTGTCTATTCATCTTCCAGTGCTCTTGCACACCAAGGACAACAAGCTATTACACACAGATAATTCAATTTGAAAACCAAGAAAACTTTATTAAGCCTACAAGTCCAAGCCCCAAAAGTTAGACAGAACTCTGAGTCGCTTTCGAACTTTAATTCATGCTCTGTATTTATATCTCAATATAATCTTCATATTTTAATATAGAACATATTTTTCCATAATAGTCTTAACTTGCCCAGTACACTGAGTGGACCTGGTTCTAAAGCACACCTCAGGCTCACAAGTCAAAAATGCTGAATGTGGCAGCAGTATTACAGAAAACAACATGCCCTAACTTGCACACTTGGCTTTGTGATTTCAGTAGCACTCTCGTAACATTGTTTGCATTTGAACTAACTTCTTCTAGAGTGCATGCCTTACAATGATTACATCCATTAATCAATGCAAAACTGCATCCCATCATAATTGCAGTATTACAACATACCATACCATAGATTCTGAGACAGCATCTTGTAAATAGAAACAAGATATTCCTTGGACCTAAAGAGAGCATATCTGTAAGCACTGTGTTTGTTTCTAAAGCATATATACTCTGTCAAACAGAACTGTTTGAGACATCTTGCCAAGAATGAACAACCCTTTATTTTAGTTTATAGTTAATAAAAGTAGTTTTTAGTTAATAAAAGTAAATCATGGTAAAGTTCCAGTTATGCACAGAATGTAAGCAGGAGATTTCACTTCACCCCTACTTATTTCCTCTTCTTGATCTGCTGAGGTAACAGGGTGCAGATGGCAGCCAAAAGAGCTCAAATTAAGACAGAATATATAGTAATATATAAAATAATGCTATTAAATGTCATTTGCTCCTCCTTTTAGGCAGCTGTAGAATGTATCTGAGAACACAAATGGAATTAAGAGAGATCAAGGAGAGTTCTGAAAAAACAGGTACAGGAATTCTAAGTGGGAAGTTTTAAATATAAGACTACTCAGGACAGAGTAAGAAAAGCAAATGGAAAAGGTTAAGTCCTGTATAAGAGGTTACCATACAGATAATAAAGACACTAAACCTAAGAGTAATGAAGCAGTAGCTGAAAACAGATTAGCTGCAAGAAAGAAAAACAAAACTGATCATCTGAGAAGGAAAGAATAGACTAAGGCAAACAAAGAGTCAGACAAAAGCACCAGAAAGACATTAAAGAGTCCTGGACAAGGAACACCCAGGATGAGGGGGTGAGACAAACTAAAGACAGGCCTGCTAGACACTGCAAGGCTCATACCTAACTTCAGTGTGGGAGCACTGCATTACACAAACACAATTCTACTTACAGAAGAGATGACCTACTTAAATCTTGTAATGCAATTAAAATATTGAAACGGGTGGAAATACTTATCACCAGAACATAGTTATTTCCCTAAAATTTGCTGAGTTATTATCCTCTACATTCCTAGACATTTCCACTTCTTTCCAATTTCAATTTTTTCCTGAATCAAAGCAGACCATGTCTTACCTGCTTGTCAACACGTTTATGCAGAACAGTATATGAAGAGTAAACTCTAAACCAAAAAGCCCAACAAAATATTGACAGAACCATAAATAATACTTCAGTCCAAGTTTTGCTTGTATTACTAGAGTAGCTTGATCACTTCAAATACCACTTTTTAATCAAAGAAACAAAATCAGGTACTATTCTTTTCCCTTCGAAGTCTTTAAAGAGTCAAAAGCAGAAACCAGTAGTTTCTGCAATGCTATCACTACCACTTTCAGAACACTTAGATGTATTTCAGCAGCGAAAATAAGAATGTTAGAATCTGTCAAATAAATGGACAAAATTATAGTTATACGGTATTATTAAGAATACAATTATTTATAATTACCAGCTGCAATTCTTGCTGCTTTGGCATAGTTTCCATTTTCAATGCATGATATCAATTCACTTCGGTCTTCCAGTGTGTGTCTTCGTATAAGTGCTGGTTTACCTTTACCACACTTTGGTAGGCTGAAACTACAAAAGCATTAATATTAAAACCATTACTTGATAATTAACATTGTTCACTATAAATCAAGTCATTGAAAAAAGAATTTAAAATTCATCAGTACACAGTAAAATCAGAGCAGCAAACTCTAACAGATTTTATATAACTAACACAAACAACTACAAAAGCTAAAACCCCAGATTATTTTCATGCACGGAATTACCTGGTTATCACCAAAAGACAAACAGTATGCAGCTGCACCGCAACTGCTGTACAGGTTATACATAGAATCATAGAATCATTAAGG